TATTTAATTTAAATTTATTTATGATAGAAGAATAATTAAGTAAATCTGAATAGAATCTTAATTAGAAAAATATTTATAAACAATCAAATTGCTGTCATTAACATTTACATTTCTCTATCACAAACATATAAATTCACTATTTCAATTTTTATTAGAAATTAAATATATATAAGAATTTCCATTAAAATTTGAATATTTCCTAAAATTAATGAATTGTATGAAAATTTTCAAAATTATAAAAAAAGGATGCCGCATGAAATGAATAGCAGCCATATAACATTGTATCATATTCATCATCAGATCAATGCAGCCATATAACATTGTATCATATTCATTATCAGATCAATGCAGCCATATAACATTGTATCACATTTATTATCAGATCAATGCAGCCATATAACATTGTATCACATTCATTATCCGATCAATGCAAACAATTAAACAAATCAAAAATAGAAAATTGAAATGGAATTAATTTTTGAAATATAATTCTCAACAAAAAATAAAGATTTGAAATCTAAATGCATTAGCTTTTCCTCTTTATTTGTAAATCTTTTACTCATTTCAATTAATAAAATTTCAGGCTATACTTAAATGGTACTTTAATTTAAATAAAAAGAATTTAATTTTTTAAAAAAAAGTTCAAAATAGAAAAAGGTAAAGAAAAAAAATGAATGTATGAATGAATGATAGAAAGATAGGGAAGGTAATTTTAAAAGAACGTCCTTGACTTTTTAAAATAACGACTCTATGATTGCTTCCTTTGCTGTATAACAAAATCCGTTCTACCCAATTTTTCCTCTCTCCCCTTTCCTATTTCCTTGGGACATAACAAAATGGCTCATTGGTTATTGGTTAGGCGCAAATGGACGACGAAGTGAGATGATGATGATGATGATGATGATGATGATGATAGGATGATATTGTGAGAAAATGATGCTAAAAGGTGGTAACAAAAAAAAGAAGAAGAATGAAAGGTATATAGCAACTGAAGCAGTTGGAATGTATCGTCGTAAAGAAGAAAATGAATGGGATGATAGCGTTAAAAAAAGAAATTGATAAAATGATACAAATTTTTTTCTTTTATTTATTTTTCAAACAAAAATTTTTATCACTTAAAAGATAATAATTAAGCATTTAATAAAATAAATGTATGCAAGAAATGATAACATTTGATAAGGGATCTTTTTTTTCTTGAGATTTCTTATCACATATTATTTGAATAATTTTATGTTAAATTTTTATCAAAAAAAAGGAACAAAGAGAAAAATTGAAATGAAAATTTTATCATAAGGAAGTTTTATCGTTGATAATAGATAACAGAATTATTAATAATAGAATTTTTAAAATATTGATAACAGAATTTTTAAAATGTTGATAATAGAATTTTTTAAATCAAATAATATAATAAATTTTGAAATGTTTGGTTTTCTTTTTTTTATTAATTAAATAACTCATTAGTGATAACAAATAATAGAAGTGGTTTTTGTGCTTATTTATATTAATTAGTATGGCATTTAGTAGGAAGGAAGTTGATATCATTAAAGGTTAAAAAGGTCAAATTTACAGCAATCAAACTTTCAGAAATCGTATTATTAGGCATTTAGTAGGAAGGAAATAGGTGTCATTAAAGGTTAAAAAGGTCAAACTTATAACAATCAAATTTTCAGAAATCGTACTATTATTATTATTGCTCGATACCGAATTGATTTGAAATTTCATTTTGAAAAAGAAAACAGAAATAATAAAATAAAATAGAATGTTTGGTTGGTATCAAAGAACAAAACGACTAAATTGATGAAATATTAAGACGAAAAACATCAATGAGCAAAAATAAGAAAGAAACAATGAACAATTAAAAATTTTTTAATTTTCGCCATCACTTCAAACATGAACAAATTTATATTTACATTTACAATTATCAATTTAAATTGATTGCAAAAAATTGAAATTTTAAAAATTGAATATTCGAAAAATTTTTTCAACACATTATGAATTTAATTTAGATTAATTATGCAATAATAATTTAGCTAAAATTAATATCTAACAATGAAAAAAATGTACTGAAATATGTATTAAATAGCGCTTCAATTATTAAACAATTAAAATTCTTTTTTTATTGATATACTGATATAGTGATATATTTGCTGATATAATGATATATTTGATAGAGCAAGAATTTATATTTATTTATTTATGTATATATATCAACTGAATTTCACCGATATCGATCGAAAATTGATGTAGAAGAGTAGTAGTAGTAGTGAGATTGGACGGGTTGTTGTCCATTTGGGGATCGCATTCTAAGAGATAGCAACTTTTCTTGTTGATACTATTACCATTATAAAGAGAAAGAGAGGAACAGAAAGAGAGAGAAAAAGAGAGAGAGAGAAGATGCTTTTTCTTTGTCATCAATTCTCTCAGTTTATAATTCTTTGTCCACAATTATTTGGGGGTCAATTTGCATTTTTGATACAAACTGAAAGCTGAAAATAAATTGAATATATTGTTTACTTTATGTGCAAGAAGACAACAATATAACATATGGCTAAAGGACAACAATAAAAGTACTCTTTTGTTACCGATTATTTTGACTAAAATTATAAGAGTAAAAATTTTAGCATTTGTCATAATTTCACATTTAATATACTAGTGATAATGATAAAATGATAGTGATAATGATAAAATGATAAAAGAGAGACTCATCAGTGATGCAACGGATCGATTTAATGATTATTAATTAGCACTAAAAAGGATGTTCAAAAGTAAGTGCTAAATTGTAATTACGTGGAAAAGCGTAATTGACAGCGTTTGAATAAACGTTGTTTCACATCTAATATATTAGTGATAATGATGAAATGATAAAAGAAAAATTCATCAGTGGTAAAATGGACCGATTAATAATTGTTAATTAGCACTAAAAAGAATGTTCAAAAATAAATATTAAGTTGTAATTGCGTAAAAAGCGTAATGACAACGTTTGAATAAACATTGTTTCACATCTGATATATTAGTGATAGTGATGAAATAATAAAAGAAAAATTCATCAGTGATAAAATGGACCGATTTAATGATTATTAATTAGCACTAAAAAGAATGTTCAAAAATAAGTGTTAAATTGTAATTACGTAATTGACAGCGTTTGAATAAACATTGTTAGTAATACGTCTATTTGCTCCATCAATTTGCAAATTCATTTTTTCTTATTTCAAACAATTTGAAATGGTTTATTTCGATGAGTGATATTTGTTGAATTTATGAATGTTTTTTCAATTTTAATATTTTAACGGAAAAGTCTTTTCATTGGAAAATTTTTCTCTTCCATTGACTATTTATTAAATTATTATTCGATTCGATTCGATTCGAATAAAATTTTGCAATCTTTTCCTTTTATTCAATTTCTTCATTTTTATTTTAAAAATTAAAATTTAAATTTTTCTTTTCCTCTTTTCAATACTATCTTATACTTTTCTATAATTCCCTTCTTATTTTTATTGAAAAATTTATTCAACAAAATAATGGAAGTGATGATAGAAGGCAATATTTATCGTAGAAGTTATTTAGCTTAGAGTGAATGATATCAACCTGTTGATGGTTGGTTATTTGTTGATGTTGAAAATTGATTTATCAAATAATGTTTGCTTAAACGAAGCAATACTTCATCTTATCTCCGTCATTTCTGACTTGCATTTGTTTTAATCAAATTATAATGTACTGTAATTTATTTCTGTTTATCCATTCATCATTGAGCATTACTTTTCATTGTGTCATAAATAATAATAATAATTATTATTACTATTATTATTATTATAATAAATAGTAATATCCCATTATTATTGTTTTTACATGAAAATGCGGTAAAATGTCGAAATTTCAGGAACAAAGGTCGAGTACAGGCGCGTGTATCAATAGCCGGACGGTTTTTATCAAAGAGTATTTGCCGAATAGATCTCAATTTGATTTGTTATTTTTCCTAGCTGATCTATTCGGTATAACAAATGCTTTAAATAGTTCGTTTCACTTTTCAACTAGAAATATATATTGGCGGCGCCATCTTTCCGTCGAAAAAAAAAATACACCGGCAAAGGGGGAGGTGAAAAGAAGACAAAGGCTACGATCAATGACAATTCTTTCCTGTTGTAATCACATACTACTTTTCGGGGAAAGTTTCAGAAATGTTTGCTAACATCATCCTATAAATAAAACATCATATCACTTAGCTTATTGAATTCTATTATCAGCAAATATCAGTTTATTATTCGATAAATAAAAGCAAATAATCTATGAAGTATGAAAATGATATCAATGTACGCTTAATTAAATTAGACCCAAATTCTCTTGTTAAATTAGACCTAAATCTTATTTCTTTTGATCAGTATCCTCTTACTCTTTCAAAAGGAATTCTTTGCAGTTATTCTTAAACGTTTTCGAAATTACCAAATACTGAGAAATTTATATGCCAGACTTCGTGTATATGTCAGACTTGCCCACCGATCATCATAATTTGTTTGATCCACAGCGGGAAAAATAAATCTAGAAGATTTGTTTAACATAGACGAGAACAACAGAAAGCATGATTTAAACAGTTATAAATTACCGTGACCATATTCAATTTATCTCAGGAAATATTTAATGCTTACAAATGTTTTGTATGCATATAAGAATGATTGCTTCGTTTCATTTGTTGTTCAAGTTTTTTATTAATCTTCATCGTTTATGTCTATATCGAACCCATTTATGTTAACTATAGGGTCAAGCAAAGCTTTTTCCAATTCAGGCAAGTTTTTAGCTTCTTAGAAATTAAGCTGCATTGAATTTCATGCTTTCATAGAAATCCCAGAAAATACTCACATAACTATACAATGAAATTCCTTAAACCAAAAATAATAGATAAATCAACTTTTTAGCACAAGATTAATTTGTTAAGCAAAAAACATTATTAACAATAAAATAAGATCAGAAATTTTTACGAACAACTGAACTTATTAATATCATATATGTTAATATGTTTCCATAATATCAAAAAGTAACTGCTCAGAGATATCATCGAAGACAACAATTTTAAATAGGCGCATCAGCTGATAGCTTTCAATGACTGTCGGCGCAGCCGATATTATTCCTGACATCATCAAAATTACGTTTCCAAAACGTTCTGGAGGGACAAATCAGTAATGTATAAGACCTGCTATTCTGAAATCAGTAAAAAAATGATAAAAGCTGATTTTTAAATTCTGTCTCACTTCTTTCTAAATATTTACAAACTTGATGAATATATTCTGAGAAATAGACATTAATGCCTGGTTACTTTTAACAGGAAAAAAACATTTCATGAAACAAGAAGTAAATCTGTATAGCTCAAAAAATTAATAAACCGAAAGATGGCAAACAAACTGGCAATTGCTCGCTTACGAAATTCCGTTGTTCGGGTACTTGGCTCTTCCGAAATCTTCGACGCTACATCTAAAAACATGGGATTATAACGCAATCGCTACTCAGACTAAATTTATGATCATATAAAACAGTAAGCTGGTCTAATTCTTCATATTATCATTTCGCCAAACAATGCAGTTTTCAGCATCCTTCATTAATTGAGAAAAAAGTCAAACTAAAGACCGAAGAAAAGAGAAACAGAGTTATTGCAAATGTACAGAACGATGTAAATAAAAGTGCTTTCAGACCGCCACCGTCATATTGAAAAAGCATGATAATTTTTAATGTTACAAGTATTTCAGGCATCAACTTTAGTCTCCTTAAAGGCACTGCAATTTCAATGATACATATATATCGGTTATCTGCTTGCAAAGTTTTTCTTCACGATTTGGTGAAATTGACTCCTAAACCAATGGGATACATGAAATGCAAGAAAAAACAATCAATTACTGGTTCATAAGAAAAAATATTAGCTTCTCTCCTGGTATATCTCATGCTTTGGAGATGTTTAATTTGCTTTTTTTGACGCTTCATTGCAATTCTTAGCGTTTCGTAGCTATTCAACGCAATGAATTATGTTTATCAAAAGATCATAATAATTAAACTTTGTTTTAGAAATTATTCTAGAGTCCTAGCAGTATTTCATTAACATTTCGTAGCATGCAGATACTACTGATGATATCAACCAAACATCTTCTATACCAAGCTCAGCAGTATAATAATAGCCATATTCCAAAATAAGATAATGAATAGTAAAAACTGGAAAATTTAGAAACTTCCCTTCCAAAACCTCAAAAGATTATTGAGACAAATATTTTTAATATGATCATAACTAAGATTGAAGAAAAATCAATTTTATCCAAAGATATGGCAAGTAAAGAAATATGATCATTAAATATACCTTTTAAAAAAAATATAACCTGTCGGCAAAAAAAAGTTTGACAAAGCACGAAATAGTTTTAGCCCATTCCAACGTCAACAATAATTGTATATGTGTTACGCTGGCTATATCGGCAGCTATAATCATAAGTCTGTTTATGGCTTCTTTGAAAGAAATTTAAAATTTTTGAAAAATTGCACTGTTAACATTTTAAAGTCTTTTTTAACAGTTACTTCAGGAAAGAGAATATCTTGAACTATATATATCAATGTTTCAAACTGAAGATTTAAATTATAATTGGGTTTCTTTGCATCTCTTAACGTTAGCTTATATTGCTTACACCTTTTTTAGTATTTCACATTATATGGGTCTCACTTCTTTGGTTGTGGATCCTGAGGGCGTATAAAAATGAAAAAAAATTTCCAAGAAATGCATCTAACTTCGTTAAAAATGTAAAACGAGTTTCAACATCTGGAACTATATACATCGATATATAAAATTCGTTTTGAAGTGGTTAATCACTTTAAAACGTTAACCATAATCACTCCATTTATGATTGCAGATGTATGAGAGGAATAAGCGAAAAGACTGATTAGATAATTACTTCATATAGAGGAATGAAAAGAAAAATTACCACCAAAACTTACCTGCTGATTGTTTTGTTCCAACAATTGTGCTTCTTGCTTCATTTTTCACTCACATCAAACGAAATCTTCGCTCATAAATTTCTTTATCGATAAGCGTAAGCTTCGAAATGAGCTCAACCAATTGCATATCTATTGGCTGTGATTGAAAGTTATAAGATATTGAAGAAATCAAGGTATCTGCGACAAGCAATAAAATTTCAACGTGGTTGCAACGTTGCAACCAGTTTCTGGAGGATATTTCATGATAATATCTCCGTAATTAAGCAAATTTAACTTGCACACAAGACAGAATATGAAAATCTGGAGTTTTGAATACCAATTATTATGGAGACCTTCTGAAAATATAAAATGAAATATATGAAGATTTGAGTCCATCAGATTTTTGAAAATGAAAATTATAAGAATCAAAAATAGACTCAAGCACATTTTTACTGCTCACTATGACTGTTTATTCTTGTAACATACGAACGCGTACTTCGCTTTAATCAAAATTTTGTGAAACATTTTCCGCATCGTGCTGGTTGTAGACGACGCATTTTTTCACATCGAAGTGGTTTAGAAAGTGATCAATTGTACAAAGTTCATCAATATGACAGATGAGATAAAATTTCATGTTGATCAATGCCGACCGCAAATATTGCAGTGTTCAATGTATCTCATCGATTTGCTTTGTATATTTTATAAATTTCACACGGGATTTAAAAGGCTGTAGAGAGCCAGAAAGGAAACACAAAGTTTTTCCGGTGCAATCCTTCGGAAATTGCTTTGAATCTTTTATCTCCAATCCAATCGAAAAATGATTCCTTTTTGCCTTCTAGAATTTTTGCAAGAAATCTCCTCAATTTAGAAACATATGATTTCGTTGAAAATTGCATACTACGGTGGCATGCAATTCTGTTCCAGAGGATTCATGATGAATTAATCGGATTTTTCTTCTGTATTTGAAAATGGCTTGTCATAGCAGTTATTTTGTCAGTTTAACGATGGTTGCAATCGTTAGTAGTGGAAGTAACACTAGAAATGGATTGCTTTTTCTACATTTAAAACTTAAAATTAATTGATTCGACACGTATGCGGAATGTAAAGTTGTTCTTATTTCATCGAAGTAACAAAATTTGTTGTATTAAGTGAAACAGTCCTCTTGCAAATAATGCTAGAAGTTGATAGCGACAATCATCTTCGGAATATAAAAATAACTGCGCAGTCGATATGCATCAAAATTATTAAGGAATTCTCGGAAGGTGTCGTCTCGCCCGAATCTGTCGCTGAGTTTTCAACGTTTGTTAAACGTAGGTTTTGTTTCTTTGTAATCTGTTGATACTTACTTAATAACCAGTAACTAAGTTGTTTATAAAAGAAACAAAGCCTACGTTTTTTTTTTTGTAAATATTGATAACTTAAGCAATAAAGCTGATTGATTGATCAAAACGAATTTTCCTATGCAGTGAATCGTTGAGTTGGAAAGGAAGACGCCGTAGCTATTGCATTATTTGCTTTGCTATTTTGTTCATTTTTTTGATCGGTCAATTTTTAGTTTTAGACAAATTAAAGGAGGAAAGGTTACAAAAAGAAGAACTTATCAAATTGCATCGAATTGTTTTTGGCACAGCGTTCACAGTTTTGAAAGAATCAATGAAAAATGAGGACAGATTTAATCTACATACGTTTAATTCCTCCTTGCAGATAATCAATAATATTTTTGAAAACTTGAAAGCTGAAGTAAGTGATCGATTCAAAATTTTTCGTTTATAATGACAGGCTTTATATTTAAGCTTCTAGAAAACTTAGCGTTTATCTGGAAGACTAATAAAATGCTTTAATAAAAAGCTTAGTCACTTCTAGGAAGAGTGTATTGGGAAAAAAAATTCGTAACTTGGTAATTCTCTACGTTTCTTTCCTTATATTTTTTTTTCCTTGCATTCCTTATAGGTATAATAAGGTAGGAGAAACAGTTCATTTCTCTTCAAATTGTCACTTATTGCTGGGAATGGAAACTTTACTTGCTCACAGCGTTTTCTTTAAAATTATTAGTGTTAATGAGACATTGCAGATCTCCTGTTCTTTCATCATATGTCGTCAGTCCTTCAGACTGTGGAAATTTTTTTCTTGAGATAAAAGTAATAAAACATTGGATTTTGCAAATAATTTTCCGAACTTTTCAGGATGCGGAAGACTTGCTTCCATTTTTGTGGTCCATCAATAGTAGGTGCCTTATAGTTGGCGAAAACAAAATCAGTAATGCAATTGACTTGGAAAGAATTGCAACATTTGAGGCAAACTTTGTTCGGTTTATGCTTTCTAATACAAGAAATAGGAAAGGTATGTGATTAGATTTAATCTTTGGTTAATCTTGGATCCTATTTTGTTCATAATCGTTTTGACGAATGAAACAGTCAATAATATAATCAGAATTATTCTTTAGATTTGTTTTCTAAAGAACATCAGGGAGAACTTGCATTTATGATAACATTTCTCATGTCTAAGTTCTGTTCGCAAAAAGTCGATATGCCGACCAGGTAATTTCTCTTGTTTAATGTAAATTTTGTCCAAATGAACTATTAAAAATCTAGGATTGCAAGAATTGAAGGAAAGTATTTGTTTTCGGGTTTAGGCTCTAGCATTTCATAAAGTTTATAAAGAGCAGAATACTAAGTGAAATTTTGTGAAAAGCTTTATTTTCAGACTTATTTTGAGCAACACATCACTTGCTTTTTTTTTTCAGGCTTAGTTTAGGAAGCACATTACTAGAACTTGTCAAACCATGGGATGGATCGGTGAAAATAATGACATCATTTCTTCCCGGTATTTGTTCTCGTATGACTAAACTTGCTTATACTGACCTGAATACGGCAATTATAGATATGGCACTAAAGGTATTACAAATATTATTAGATTCATTTGTAGGGATTTGGGAATAGACAGGAATTTTTTTGCGTTTATTATTAATAAGATCTAAGGTTTCAAGCCTGTTCGGTGCTGCGCTTTAAAATCCGAAAGTAATAAAATTTAACCAAGAGTAAGAAATTACGAAAATGCCCGTGAGCGTGAGCGTTGTTTTTTTATTAATCGATAGATATTTCCAGATTTTTGGCTGCAGTGTGTCAACTTGCTTGAATGATTCTGTTGTTCACAAGCAGGGTGAAACAGAAAATTTATCACCTGTTGAAAGCAAGCGAGGAAATTTTGAAACTGTTTCTGAAAAGAATATTACTTACGTCGAAGACTGGGACAAAAATTTGAAATTTCTGGTAAGATATATTTTTGCAATCTAATTTAAAAAAGTACATTTTGTCATATATTATCACGACAGACTCAATATATTAGAAGTTATGGTCAGTTCTACTGATTTGTAACATTATAAGCTCATTCTAGATAAATCATTTGAAGTTGTTTTAGGTATTCAGTACAAACTGGCCATAAGGACCAGACAAAAATTTTCAATTATTTCCTCTTAGTTCTTGACTTTTGAAAGAGTTATATTACTAAAACTTAATTTGAGATTCGCATTTCTGAGTTATTGCTTAATGAATTGAATATTTAAAACTTTATAAGATTGAAATCGTAAATTGCCATCATTTCTTCTCAGATTTATTATTATTACTGTTGTAATTCATGAAATGTTAACTTTTTAACTAATTTTAGCTGAGAAGGATGAGTTCTAGACTCGTTCGATATCAAGATCATCGTATTCGACTTGCTTTGCTTATTCTTTTGCATGATATATATAGACATTGTACCATAAGTCTTGCTTCTTCGATTGAAAATATTTTGATTGATGCTGTTCTGCTATTGCTGAGTGATCCATATGAAAAGTAAGTTTATATTTCCATAAATTTTTGCGCTCTTATTGCTGTTTGAATTTAGAGAAGTCTGCACTTCAGTACAACAATTTTTTCTTCCAAATATTTGTTAATTCTTGAGCGTTGTTTTTTATAAAACCCTCATAAGTGCAGGTATTAGGAAAAATTTTTTGGCAATCTGGAAAGTATGTAGAAGGGCTTTTTCAGTTACATTGCTATTTTGATATTTTCTAGAATTGCTGAATTTTCGCGAAAGATTAAAGAATACTTAATGCATGCAGTAAAGGAAAGTTTCATCAATCGTTTGAGGGAGCGTTTGTATTCGTTATCTACTACTATACCTACGGAAGCCATTGTTAGCGGAGATATTGAAGGATGTTTAAAACAGGTAAAAGAGACAAAAAAAGTGATGGTAAGGGAAGCATTGAAAGATAGTGTTTTTATTGTAGTATTTCCATTAAAAATTAAGGCAGTTTTAGCTTCAGTTGGGTATTTATTTGTCCAAGAAATCGAAGCGAAATCATTCATTGTTAACCTGTTGCTTTAAATTTAAAATTTTGTTTTATAAACTTCTCTTTAATTCTTTGAGGAAAGAATTCTACTAGTTAGAACAGATGGTTTCATTTGTTGTAGAAACGGATCTTTGTACTTGATTAATTTAGCAAAAGTAATAAGACGCAGTCAATTTTCAGTTGCTGGGAGTGTTGTTTTCAATGAATTCCGAATGCGACGACTTTTTGTTAGGTGGGAAATTGCCTGAGCAACTGGTGTCCGCACTATCATCGGCACTTCGATTGGATGTTAAACGATTACGTTTAAGTCGTGAAGTTATCGAGAAAAACGATGTTTTAGGCAAGTAATTGTTTCAAGTTGTGGAAGGCTTATTTTAATAGTTTAACAAAACGTTTGAATAAATTTTCTAATGGAGAATAGTATTGCTTCTTTTCAGGCGTCTTTCAGAGAGTCTTAGCATATGATCCCAAGTATCTTCCGTTCAATGTTAATAAGGTTATCAATGAAGAAAAAGAAATTCCACCTCTTACATAGATATAATAATATTTTTTAAAAAATTCTTTGTCTCTTCAGAAATTTGTTTAGTTTCATCTTATAGGCGCAGTAGACGACTTGCCTCTTCTGCACAATGTAGAAAAGAAAACAATCAATCAGATTGCTGTTCTTTTAGCTACTAGTAAACACTCTTATGCAAGTTATTTTTATGTTTTCGTGAATTTCATACCTTTTAAGTTTGCGCTGTTGTTAATTTTGTATTGTATTTCAAAACTCTGATCAAATCTTAAAATTTAGTGGGAAAATTATCCTTTTAGCGGTTTTTTCTCCATCAAGGAATGCGCCAAATTTTTTTCTTTAATCCCTTCGTATTCGTAAGAGTTTGGAATACGAGTAATTATATTTAGAAAATTTAAATTTCGTTTTAAAATCGTTGAGAAACTGAATTTATATCACTTCTTATTCCAGATTCTCTTGGATTGCATTTCTGAAAATATTGGTCATACGAATGAATTAGAACAATTGACGGGTAGTTATCATTTTGCTGTTTATTTATTAAGAGCAACCTGTACACAAATTACTAAACCAGCTCAAAAATTTATTGATACTTTACAAGTGCTAGTCGAACAAGCTCTTAAACTGCTAGAAACAACCGACATACATCATCCACCACGGGACGACATTATTGAAGGTTAATTTTTGATTTTTTAAAAAAATTTAGATCAAAGAAATTGAAATGAAATAAAACGCTAATTAGTTATCAAAATTGTGTCAAGTCCAAAAACTGTGTAAAAATTTTGAATTTCTGAATTACAGATGACAATGATGAGCAGGGTATCGAGAGCTGTCTGGTCACAATTTTATTATCCTTCTGTGCTGCTGCTTTCAGTTGTACTCCTTCTATTTTCTTATGCCAAAAGGTTAAATTGTTCATTTTTTCAATTTATTATTATATGCTTTAAGAAACAGCAAAATTTGTAGTTAATATACTATTTTGTTTCATAAACTTCATGTAAGGTTGGTCTGCGATCAAATATCTGACAATCTAAGGTCAAAGCATGAATACACGATTAGAACTTTCCTTTAATTTGTTTTGCTTTATTAATTTTCATTACGATTTAATTATAGTTAATGAACGAAACTTTGTTCGAAATATTTAAGTGGACGAAATCATCATATATAATTTGTTCAGAAAGTGCTGAAAATGCTTTAAAAGCTGCCGCTTTGGTTCGTTTCGTAAAATATTTCATTTTTTGAATTAAAGGCCCTGCTTCTTGATTCACTGATTAGGTAGAGTGAAGGAAAGTTTATTTTATTTCAAATTTTTTCTTTTTACCATACTGTATGAACAATTTCATTGCTACTGTAGCGGATTTTTGGAAACACTGTCAATGAGTCTTGAATTTTTTTTAGACTTCTCATTTCTAGATTTTTTTTTCAGGCAGTGGGAGAAGCTGACGTATCTTCTCTTTGTGTTACGTATGGGAAATATCTCTTACCAAAAATAGCAATTCGTTCAAGAGCTTACAGTAGCAATCTTCGCACACCTTGTGTACTGTCTTCTTTGCTCGATCATTGTGAAAATCCTGAATTGTTCGAGATTACCAGCCACGTTGTTCAAGAGCTTCTGCTTGCAGTTGACTTAGGGTCACAGGTATATTTTCTATGTATTTAGAATCTTCTCTGAATTTGTTTTTCTTATATTGTATATGTGTTTGAAATATATCGGATCTTTGTGCTGCAGGAATGGCTAATTTTGATTCTCAGGGCTCTGCTCAGTTTTGGAGTAGCTGTTGGGAAATGGTTTCCTGACGTCAGGCCTCAAGAAGTTGAATATAGTGAGGACGATCCAGATAAGAAAGTTCCAAAACCTGACTTTGTTAAATCTGTAAACAATGTTTTGAAGAGGTATGTTTATTTATCGTTTTTGGAAAATATTTCGGTTCATTTTCAAACTAATCTGTTTGGTATGAACTTACGATTATTGTCTATCTATATTAATGCAAAATGCAGACAGATATGATGAAAATTTATTCACTTAAAAATTTTTGATTTTTTAGAACGAAGCATCTTCTCTTTTCTTCTCACGCACCAGTTCGCTTATTAATTCTGAAAATCTTGGATGTATGTCTGAAAGATTTAAAACACTTCCCGGACGATTATTTGCCGATGATCCATGAGAACTGGTTTGCAGTTTTTGACTGTCTTCAAGAGAAAAACTTGAATGTACGACTGGATGGATTTAAGGTTACTGCTTTGAAAGTTCAGATTTGTTATTTTTGTTGCATTCGTTGCAATGGAAGTGATATATATGAACGTGAGTCACTGAAAAATATGATCTAATATAGTGGAAAAGTTCTGATTCTTAGTATTAAAACTTCATTCATAAATCTTACTTATCGTTTACTTTTCAAGTTGATTTGTTTTTGCATAATTTTAAATATTATGTTAAATTCTCTCTTTACTCTTTTTTTTCATATTTTTCTACTTTTAATCTAAATTTTTATTTTGGAATTTCGTTATTCGTCAAAATAACGAAGCTCTTCTTAATTTATAAGAAGTTTCTGTCATACGTTTTTACGAATGTTCACATTGCATAAACAGCATGTTTATTTTTTTCTGAACTTTGGCTAGTTGTTTTATAGGTTGTTGTAACGATGTGTGAGCTTTCTGGCAGTTTCTGTTATCGTCGTTTCATTCCTCAAGCGTGGCCATCAATTCGTAAATTCATGCTTGAGCAAAGTACTGCAAGTGCTAATGCTCAACGAGCTTATTTTCATTCGGCTGCTTATAAATTTCAGCAAGTTGTTCTGGAAAAGTAGGTTTTGTGAATTTCTCATTCATATTCACTGCATTAATTTTTTTGGTTCACGTTTATGATATGGAAATGAGAAGCGGAAGTAGAATGACTACAGAATATTTAGTCACAAAACTAAAGTTTTTTCGAAATTCAGTGAACTGCTCTGTAATGATTATAAGCAGGCGTTTCGGACAGCATTGTATATGAACGCCAAATGTAAGCTGAGTTTTTTGAAAAACAACCTGAGACTATTGAAATGTGAAACATTATCCATTTATTAATTAATCGTAATGGTGACATTATAACAGATAACCAGTTTTATTTAATGATTAAAGGTTTGGTTTCAAAATGTCTTTTTATTGTTTTCATTCAGTAATAGGGAAAATGTAATTATTATTTAGACTCTTCCCTTAAAATATCGCGTTTTTTTAACAAGTTCTGTTTACAGTTTGGACATTGTTTTTCGTTCAATCGAAGCTCGTGGTGCAGATTGGAGAAGTGCTATAGAGATGGCCAAAGTATATTGCGATGTTTCACAGCCTGAAAACTTTCAAAATGCATCAAAAAATTTGCTTTCCATGTGTAAGATGAAATTAAAGGAAATCGATGATGAATCGGAAAATGTAATCGGTCGAATTTAGTACAATGACTTGAATCGCACCGGCATGTACAGTCTCTTTCGTTTAAGATCTCTTTCTTTATTACATTTAATGTTGGTGTGTGGTACTATTGGTAATATATAGTTTCATAAAAAAAGGAAAATAAAATAAAACAAAGTTATTACTTTAAATTAACTGATATGGGACAAATAAATAATTTAATTCCTGAAATCTTAAGTTTCTATTTGAAAAGCTGCTTTTTGGTTATATTGGTGCAGTTCTTTCACCAAAAGAAGACTTATGCCATTGAACATGGGGGTAATACCATTATTTCTGATATTGATTTTAAGATTTTCCGATGAGTTGATGTCGTTCAAGAATGCCATTAGAAAAGGAGAAATTTAGTGAAGGTCATTAGGGAAGAGGGAATTTACTGAAGGTCATTAAGAAAGAGGGGTGTTGTCAGTAGGTTGTGAGGGAGTTTCAATAATGAAACAGTTAGAAAATAAGACATGCAACGAAGACAAAGAATTAAATTAGAGAGTTAATGGATTAAGTGGTTTAGAGAGATGTTTGATAATTGAATACAAGGGATGGAAATTGAAATTTTGATTGTTGAAGAAAATTGAAATTTCGATTACGGGAGTGCATGAGCAGTTCTGCAGACAATAATTAATATGTCTCCTTTGTGGGGTACATTTATTGCTATCGTTTCATTTGAACGAAAACGCGAAAACGAGTCTCTCGAAAGACATTCGGATGAAAAATATTTAAAAGTTGACTCATCTAATCTTTGTTTCGACCTTTAAAAGTATTAATGGGACGGCATATTTGCTGCATCGCTGAACATTTCTCTATTAACTTGTCACGCTACCCTTTTTTCAAATATGATTACCGAAAAAAAATTAGGCTCATTAGGCTCATTTCGGATACATTACTGTTTTAAAATATAATCCATTTAGACTAAAATAATCAATGATATATATATTTCAACAACTCATAAATCCTACAAAATTTGATTTTACTTATTTGTAAGGGAGAAAAATATTCAACAAATATTAAATTTATTTACGATGCAAATGGCGGTTGAGATATATTACATTCAAATGTTTGTATTATAATTGGGACATTCTGTTTATTTACACCTTTCATCTTTCGTTTCAAGCCTGTCACTATTGGCAACGAAAATTTCGATAACAAAGAATGGATAGACATAATTTAAGCAGATCGCTAAGATCGCTGAAACCTAATATCAAATAGGTTAAGCAGATCGCTAAGTCCGATATCGATTTGTTCTGAACATTCCGATTCAATTAATCAATCTCTTTCTGAACATTCTCATTCGATCATTTCTCCTGAATATCCTTTTCATTCAACTTATTTCACAGAAAGTTGCCTTCGTTCGTCTCTTCAGCGAATTGTTGAGAGGAAAAGAGCAGACGAGGAAGAAGGATGATTCTAAATTCATTTACTTATTTTATCATCGCATTAATACCACTATATGAAGCACAACCTTTTCTAACATGGATTCAAAATGATGATCAATCTTTTGGCACTGAATTTTTCGATAATTTCTTATCCACAATTTTTAGCATCACACAGGTTTAATATTACAAAATTTCATAAAGAAAAATTACACTGATTTATTCAGTGTTTTCAATTTAGATTTATTGAAGAAGTTATGATAACTATCATTTATGAAGTAATAGTGTTATCTCAATTATAGAATCTCCATAAAATGGATGATTCGATTGATACAGTTGTGGATGAAGAACACGTGAATGTTCGTGAAGATTACAATCCTGTAATTAGTAAGGTTCAACTTTTTCTGTTTCATTAATAGAAGTTATTATTATCAAATGATACTTATCATTACTAGATTTCGGTATGATTTTTGAAGTTTTTTAATGATAATTATTTGCGAATAAATTTCAAAAAATTTATACATTTTGTAGACTTTAAATAGTTATATTAGTAAATCAATACAAATTATAAGTGACCATAGTTTTTTTGTATTTTGCATTATTTTTCTCTCTTCATACTGTATCAATTCTTACTGTATCAATCTTCCTTTAACTCATCTAAAAATAATTTTGAGAGTTTTATAAGTTTACAAAGATTTGCTCATTTGTGAATTAGTTAAGTTGCCGTGAACAGGTAGGTAATTAAAATTATTAAATGGTTCCATAACTGATAGAAATACCGAAAATAGGTTTTTTTTTTTCTAACAAAAACATTTATCTGAAAGAGTTTCATTTCTCGAACTAATTTGCTCATCCTTTAAGACTAATCAATTTTCCAAACAGATAATTTCTTTTCTGGACAACGATGAACGCCGTGCAATAAAAGCGAGCTTCAATAAGCAATTCGAAAAAGAGCGATCGAACTTCCATAAGGAAAGTATTACGATTGAGTTAGTATATTCGATTTAGTTTTTATCAAATGAAATATAATTAAACTAATCAGTATTTCCATTTGATAATATTTTTGAAAAGTTCGAAATTTTTGAAATTTCTCAAATAATTTAAAGTTTCAATCACACTTTAGTGTTTGAAAAGTTACCGTATTTGAAGTAGCCAATTACGGTTGAAGTATTCTTGAGCTCCGATTATTATGATAAATTGTGATAAATGAAAATTGTGACAAATGTGAAATGGTTTGAGATAATCGATGACAGATTCGGAATGTGGAAATTTTCCGCAATTAAAAGTAATTGAAATCTGGGTGGTAAATGATGTGTTCAATGTTGATATTATATATGATGAAAATTAAAAATTTTTTTTGGTGAAAATTTAAAGAATTCTAAGATTTTTTCTGTAATGTTAGTTAACGAATCTCTTTTTTGACACTTTTTCGAGAACGTCAATATTCAGGCAACATGTTTGTGTACAAGAGAAGAAAGTGCCATTATTACGGGAAACTTCCGAATCAACGTGTACGTCGTACAAACGGGCGATCCGATGTGTTACGAGTGACAACAATGGAACGTTGATGCGAATCGTTGAATGTTGTGATGGATATCATACATCAGATATCAAGAAAGGATGCACTCCATGTATGTTAGAATTTTTTTTTAAATTATGTTAAATTTTTCAGTTCAGATTTTAAGAGTATTAGAAACTTATCTTTCTTTTACAACATTTATCATACTTTATTGAATGAAGTTGGGATATTCATTTAACTATAGCATCCTATTATAATTAAAACAAAAATTTTTTCAGATGATGCTGCAGAAAGTTTGGACAAGTTATTGAGTGGAAAGAATGTGTGTACAGATGCACTGGAATTAAAGAATATCAAATTTGCAACTTTATTGATACCAGATAACGAATCATGCTTGGAAGTATAAATTTGTGATTCTTCTTCTTGAACTAATTTGATTAATAAATTAATTAATAGATTACCCATTCTTAATGAGGTTCAAGTAATGAAAAAAATTCATAATTTTTAAAGCAAATTTAAAATTTCATAAAATCGTTTCATTTTCCTTTACAATCCATTTATTATTGTTTGTTCAGAAAATTTTAAAGAGCCAATAAGTAAAGAAGGGAAATGCTCTTTGTTATCTTTTCCTTTTGAAATTAAAATTGAAACTTTTATAATTCTTTTTTTAATTTAAAATTTAATAAATATTTTATCTTTCAATTTCAGTTTTCTTAAACATTTTACTTCAATAAAACTTTCAATGATATAAATTTTTAGGTATTTTTTAACATAAATATGGCAATTTTGAAATCCTTTGGAATATTTACTATTTCGGGTTTAAAGTATTATTGATTTTTGCAGAATGATGCTAACAACAGGAATTGGGACGAATACATTTTGGATCAACCATATCATAGTTATGAAATGTTGAATTCTCAAAAATTGCCAACACTTAAACCGGGAGTTTTTGTTATTGTATCAAGAAATACCGAACGAACAGGTTTAGATGATAAAGTAAGAATGATTTGTGTTTGTTGTTCAGAATAAATAAATAATTCTTTCTACCAAATTTTCATTAATCTTAACTTATTGATTACATTCATTGAATTCTTATTCATTTAACTCTTTCATTTCATTTTAAGATTAAGTTTAAATTTCATGCTAAAAATATTTTTGCATAAATAATTTTTGTAACATTCATTCATTATACTTCCAAGAAAAATATTATCATAGCAAATATATATTATAATATATTCGAATGAAATTTTTCAAATTTTAGCCTCTTCTTAACTGTGTCGAAATAGTAAATGAAGATTTGGAGTGGAAAAATGGTACAGTACAACTATTAAGTGGACCATTACCTAAGGCAACAACTCAAACACTTCTTGAAATTATCAGAAGCGATCCAAATTTTTCTATTTTCAATTCCTGTAAGTTTTTGAATTACCTGGTAGGTTAATATCAAATTTTATAGTTTTCATAATTTTTTAATTAAGCAAAATTAAGATAATAAAATATGAAAGAATAAATGTGAGCGAAATTTGTTTTGTTCCATTTCAGTATTAACTGATGATCTTCAAGAACGTCTTGCATCAAATACTCTCATTTCTACTGTATTCGTTTTTAGTAACAAAACATTTACATCATTTTCTCCATCACTTCAAATACGTATGAATCAACGGAAAGGATGCGCAAGAGGTAAAATAGAATATTTTTCAAACTAAATTTAAACTTAAATACTATGAATTGTTTTTTTCAGAATTAATAAAAGAACATATATATGATGGTATGTTATGCTCATTATTTATGGAAAATGATATAATATCAATTACTGGTATTAAGCATCACTTTTATAAACAGGTTGAAATTTGCATATCATTTCGATCATTTGAAAAATAATTGTAAAATTAAGTTTATATTTAAGAGTATTACAAAACTTTCTTGAGAATACGAATTTTAATTAGGATTGCAGTAATCAAATGATGTAAAATTAAGAGGATTACTATTATAATTGATTTTTATAGCGAGATGGAAATAACACGGAATTAATTCGTCTGGATAATGGTCGGATTTTGAATACTGATCGAATAGCTTCAAATGGTATCATTCATATCATCGATGACATAATACTTCGAGAACAATGTAAATTCAGACTTCAATTTTTTTCCGTTTTTAGTTTCAAAATAGTTCTATTGAAGATACCAAGATTTGCAATGTTTATTTAATGAAAGCTACTGTCATATATTTACCAACTGTTGCATAGATTGAATTGTGTCGAGAATTTACTGAAACAGTGATAGATAAGTGGGCTGATCAATAATTTAAAAGCGAGTCCTTTACTTTTTACATGTTTATTTTTTAAAGTTTATAGCTGCAATCGATTGGCGTGATCATTTAGAGTCTCCCGATCGAGAATTCCTCGAAATTGTTGAACGTAATATTGGTCATGAAGATGAACCAATCGTTATATTTGTACCACCCAACGATTCTTTTCAAGTATGTTGTCTTTTCGCTGTTATTTTTGCTTTAATGTCATTATTTAAGTGTTCATGAATGAATTAAAAAGGTTACTTAAATTTACTCCAACTTACTGTAGTTACTTGACCAACACTTTTATTTCGCACGTTCTTTACCACGGTTCCTCATTTTAAACATATGAAAGATTATTTCAGGACGCCCAGACCATCCCACTCGGAACTTTTAATGCCTTGCTTTCATTCAAATTTCCCATTTTTAAAAATTTCAGAATTTAACAGATGAAAAATCGTTTGTTATGAATCACATTGTCGTAAATGATTCACAAATCACAAGTAAAGTGATCGAAACAGCATATGGTTCGAAGGTTAATTAATTTCTTATTAAATTTAAGCCCATAATCATAAATCAGTATCTTTTAATCACACTTAGAAATAAATATAGTGGTTCAAAGTTCTCTACCATTATCCAATCAGCTATTCAAAGGATTTCTCGATTTTACAGATCTTTTTGTGAATTCAGATCCCCTCATCGGTAAAATCTCCAAAGCCGCTCTTCGGATGTGCAAAGACAATAAGGCCACCTACGAAGTACTGCAACACGACCATTTATTCTATTGATGCTGTATGTGCTTTTAATCTTTTGTACATCGATCATAATTACTTTAGCATCTTTGAGTTCGAATGTAAAAATTTCCCAAAAGTATGAACAGAAACGATAATAAAAATAATGAGCACATTCATTATCAATTAAACCGTTATATTCCAAAGTTTTACTTTGTTTTGTCATTAGGTTCACAGTTCTTTATTTGACTCTCTTCCGCCAATTAAGGAAGTTGGATTTGCCCTTTTTCCCATATATCCGTTTCAGAATTTACGTCAACTTCTCAAATTAAGAAATTTAATTAAAATATATAAAATTTAGCCCTTGCCAAAGACTATAAATACATTGGAAGAATTGATAACCGATCGACGTGAGTTTTCTGCATTTGCTTCGTTACTCAATGATAGTAACATCGACTTGAAAAACGACCAATTGTACACCATTTTCTTACCTTCCAATGATGCACTGTCGAATAATCAAATCCGAACACTAAAAATGAATAAAACGCTGGCAAATGACTTCGTACATAGACATATTTTTGAGGGTAAGCACTACAAGCTTAAATTATATTCCCTAACGATTTTTCGCCATTTAAATCTATTTGATTCTTTTCAAGTATCAGTGATGGAGAGTCTTCGATAGTTATGCTCACTTAATTTACAGGAATGTTATGTTCAAAGAATCTCCGAGTAAGAACGGGTGACGGAGAACTCCCGGTAGTTTTGAAAAATTTTAGAGGTGAATATTACGATGGTCGTAAAATAGGCGATAAGACAACAGTTGGTGATATTGATTTACAGGTTAGTAAATAAAAATCTTATACAATTACGCTATATATGTACCCTGATCATCAGTTTAAAAGAAAGTTCTCGATGCTTAGGACAAGTCCTTCAAATTCTTTCACGGTACTGTAATATTATACACTTTAATATGAGTGCCTACATTCTTGAAGTCCTTAATTAAAAATTAAATTTTAAAATGCAGGATATGGATATACTCGCTGTGAATGGTATCCTACACACATTGGAGAGTCCATTGAAGAGACAAACATCACGCAAGCATCACAATCTGTGCTCGGTTTTTGATTTCATTTAATTTTTTGTATGTTTTCTTTTTGATAAATAAAGAATAAAACTATATGAAACAGTATCGTGACAGCTTCGCGTGGGAAGATAGCGTGATATAGCAAACAGCACCGAAATGCCATAATACTGAAGAAGCACAGATTAAGGAAATTGTCAGTATTGGAATTCGGCGAAATTATAACGTGTGCCCAATTAATGTCTAGTTTGTAAAGATATGATGGAAGTAGATGAAGCATTTCTTCAACAAGAATTTATCAATTCAATAAACAACGTTTACGCTTCTTCGAGTAAATGCTGGTAAAACAAAACTTTCTATTGTATAGTACACATATCACACGCCCCACTCCAACTGTTATGAAAACTTAACTATAAAAGAGTTAATAAAACCTGAGAACATCCGGACATTCCAGAGGGATAATTTCATATAATTCACGCAACTATCCATAAGAACTACAAGGTGTAACATATGGGATTATAACTTTCATAATAAGCGCGTTAAATGTCGATTTGTTTTCTAATGATATGAATGGCGGGAAGGACAGAAATTAAATTTTCTCGCAGAAAGGACGTTGATGACCATCTTTGAATATTTGTATGCATTTTAACTTTGATAAATTAGTCACTAAATGGGTATTGCTATTCCATCGGATGTCAGCTAAATTTTAATTAATTGCTACTAAGGAATTATTTCAGTTTAATTTCTTGATAAAGCTGCCGAAGAGCTAGCTGTTCAGTGGAAAAAATAAAGATCAACGAAAGACATTGTGTGACAATATCACAAGCCGTGAGATGGGACGAGTGCTACTGAAAACTAATCGGCAATGGTATGTAAATTTATCAAAAATGAGATTAATTTATTAAGAATAAGAATAAATTGGGTTTGGAGTTGAAATAAACTTAAAAGAAATGTACAGATGGATCTAACTTGTCATATTTTGAGAGTAGTCAAGGCTGTGCACTCAATGGTTCTCCTTCTATCCTCTAATAATTTTCATGGAAAGTTTCTACATCTTTCTTTAAGATTCTGGGAACTTATTTTTCCAAAATTCGAATAATCCTGAAGGGATGATTAAATACTGGAAAATCTGTGTTTGGCTGTAAGAGAAATCAAGGACAAGAGATTTGTGTATATTTGTCCTTATTAAATATCTATTTTTACGCCGTTTTTCTGTATAAAATTTAATCTTCATTTCTTTTAAAGAAGCATATGATTGCCAACAATATCACAGATACTGATAATACTTACAGTTAAAAATATCTAAATATGTTCATCGTATCTAGAGTTTAATCATTAAACACACATTAATTAAGGAATAGTGGAGAAAGTTATCGGCTTATAACATTTTTCACTTAATTTCAGCACACATCGGACTTCAACTCTGCGTAAAACAAACGATGGCGGAGTATCGAAACAGCTTACTGCTGCTGAGAAACGGAAAAGAATGATTGAAGCTGGTACAAAATATGCGTAAGTTTAGTATCAGATATTCTTATACTTAACACTTTCAAATGATCATAAATATATGCAGTAAACTCAGACTGCTGCCCTACGTCCCTATATATTAAATTTATCAGTGGTGTACATATAATAGAAGGTAGCAATGATCACATTTTTATATATTATCATAATATTATTTTATTCTAATCATACATAAAAATTTGGTTATGGCTATCGTTATATTGTATTCTGGCAACATAAAAATTTGAGCATTTTAGATAGTTTAGAATTCCATTACAGAGCAAGATGGCTGATAAATATGTCCCCATAATGCACGTTAGCAACTTTTCAGAGCACAAAATCGGAAAATCAAAGCAGATTGTTCGGCAGGAACCCACTTCACAAAATTTAGCGTGGAGGTCAGCTTATCATATTTTAAGCAGTTAGACAAAATATAATATTGAACATGGAAATAACATTTTTATTGCATTTTTCTGTGTTTCGAGTATTTTTAAAAGATTGCTCATATTTTGAGTTTTGCAGACAGTTCCAGGGTCAATTATTAAAACTGGATTATGCAGGAAATCCACGGTGCCTCTGAAGCGCACTTCTCCAAGAAAAAACAAGCAAATACTTGATACATCTAGTAACCATCAATCGATTTCTGAAAACATTCTTAATGTAAGCATTTTAGTTTGAGTTTAAAAATATTTATTTCTATCGAGGAAATTTTCAGAAAATTTTAGTATTTAACTCTTTGGAGAAAATTTTTAAATTAAGTTTTCTTAATTATCCAGTGAGCACTTCTTTGTCTTATATTGCCATGTTTCGCGAATTAATGAAAAAAATAGATTTCAGCGCTCGGATGCAAAAAGCAAACCAAAGACTCATTTTATAAAAACACCTCTGAAACCAATCAATGAAATATTTGAACGTGATGATGCCGCATTGACAAGCATTTTAAACAAATGTCCACAAAACTCAATTTCTGGAAGAGCTTCCATGTTCGTAAGTTATTTTTGGCTGTCAATGTTTTCTTTGTCATATTTAAGATTTTCGATTCCATGTGACCTTGGGCAAACTGCTTTGTTTATATGTTCAAGTTCCACAAAATCGAGTTATTGCCAGTTCCTTTTTTGATTGCTTTTGTCAAGGTGATGGTTTCAGAAATTGGTCATTCTTTGTCTATGTACTTAACAACTTAATACTAATGTGATTATAATCACATTAATATTTTCTTTATTTAGCGTAGTCGCGAAAGACCATCATTGTTTCCGAATGGCGTAAATCCTTTGGACACAGCTGCTGTGAAATTTGCTAAACCCTTATCATTGACGGCGTTAGCCGCGCGCTCGTTTTCTCTGGGAATGCCGGCGAAAATTGATACTGCATCCATTTTAGTTACACCATCCTCAACTTTTAAGATGTCAAAAAGAACACCAGTTGGTTTTTATGTTTAAAGTTTCTTAAATTTTTTTAGGACTGAATGATTTTTGAATTTATATTGAGAAAAATAGGTATTATGCATGATGTTGGTAAATAGAAATTTTGTATGAAAATTTTTAGGTAAAAACCGTTAGGTTTGACGAAAGCGTTGATTTCCGAAGTCCGAAAGTTGATGATGTATCTTCTCCAGAAAGTAGTGTTCTTAAAATTGGTAAACCGACTTCTCTGGAAACTTCAGTAAGCTTTACAAAATTAGCTTTCTTTTCTCATGAATTTATTTGTAGCTGTCGCATTCGTTTAGGATGAAATGATTTTGGATCTGAAAATGAAATTCGATGACATCTTAGAAAAACTGAGAAATTTGCCAGCAAGTGTTTTTAGCAATTTGAAAGAAGCAGTGCATCAAATTTCTTATGAGAAATCAAGGTAAATTTCTGATATATTTTTATTTAAATTTAGGTTAGGAATTTGGCATCTTACATCTTAATTTCCTTCAAAAGGATGATAATCCTGCACTATCATGCTGTTAATGGAAGCATTCTTTTAATTCTGAATGAATTTGTAATTACTTCAGACCAATTAAAAAAGCAGTCAAGTAGTAAAATTTTTGAATGTAAATCTGTCGGTGTTTTAGAAATGCTAACATAATGTGTAATAGGTATCCATTCAATCAACAGTTGAATTCGTTCTCAGAACTTGAAACGAAAGAAGTCTTGCCCAATCGTTGTCGGTCATCAATGGATTGCATCGCCTTACGAACAAGAAGAAAAGTTCGTGTATCTCAGATGCATACCAACCAGGTATTTTTGTTTATAAATTTTTGGAGTCTCGTAAAACTAAACTCAGAAAACTTGTATCTATGAGTGATATACTTGAAAATTGAGAATTTTGATGAAAATTGGGAAAAAATAGACTTCTTGAACTCCATTTCACTTTTTCTAAATATATTACAGGAATTTCCATTAACAATAGAATCATTTCAAGAAGAAAATTGCGAAAAATCTAAAATGTAATGTAAGTTGACACTTAACTTGCTATTAGCTTTTTGACCACTAAAATTATAATGAAACAACCGAAAGTTTCTTAGTTTATGAATCATACATTACAGGATCTTCCGAAAGGGAAGCAAAATGAGTTAGAAACATAGTAAATACAGAAATTATTAGTAATATAAATATAGAATTGAGGAGAGTGTTACAATTCTTGCTACGAATTCCAAATCTGTTTGCAGCAGCAAGAATTCAACGGAAATGAATTGCGTGCTCTCCGACAAGGTACAGTCAGTTGAATCAACAATGGGACTGCTATGATTTTTACTGTGCTCTCTGTATTTATTAAATGGCTAATCTGGGAAGAAGAGTAACGTGCATAGGGTTCATAGGTGTTCAGCTATTTACAAAATATTTTTGAATCATACAATGAGTTCATGATGTTATGGCCAAAACTTTGTTGTTGTCCAAGACTTCATTAAAATTATAATAATTATGAAATAATAATACTTCGAAATTTAAAATATCTAATTTCCACCTCTTCATTCACTGTACATCCCTTCAATGAATGTGAGATTGAAGGTTTTCTCTATTTGGAAGTTTATGATGCATATATGCTGTACTTATCACAATCCAATTACAGCTTCTTTCATATAGCAACTAGGGTGAGAGTTGTTGCATACACTGTCATATTTATATTAAATGTACAGAAGGGATCACAATTATGAGGGTATTTAATACAACCCCTCTACATGTCGGATAGGCTGCATACACACGTTCTAAAAGAAATTTATACTGCAAGAATTTAAGCTATTTAATTCACACGATATCAAGATCATTCCAGTTGCACATCGAGAAAATTATTTGTATTGTTAAAGATAGAAGAAAAACGAAAACAGAATAACGGCTGTTTTATGATTTTGCTATCTCTTGAAGGAGGAAATCATCAAAATATTGACTTTGATCAGTTTTTTCTGAGAATCTCACAGGAAAAAGTGTTTTATTCTACCGTGTTTATCTCATCACTGTATAATTAGTGTGTCCGCTTTTTGCTTTTGTCATAGTTTGTTATATCTATCCATCTTTCACCATATATATGTATGTATACAGTGAGGAAGCATATTTTATAACTGTGGAAAAATAACCATTTTATCTGCGCAAAATACATTTTATTCTTGATAGAACAGCTTAATGAGAAACCCTATACAGCAACAGCTATTTGAATGAAATCCCTTTATAAATCTTCCCTGTTCGTATTGCTTTTATTACTAGTATCAGTTCACCAAATGAGACTCAATAATTTTTAACGGTGGAGTCTCTTGCATGGATCCGACGATATGATATGCTTGATTTACGAAATCCATCCCTTTGCTTCATCATACTTCTGGGCCTGACATCTATTTGAAATGAAAATCAGTCCAGTACGCAACAAAATGTGTTGAGAGGTTAGAACCGTTTTTCCTAAATCATAAACTTGTGGTCTTGCGAGACTCGTGACCTTGTGAGACTTTACACTTTCTGATGACATCTGAATTTACCCCTAGTTAGCAAAACCACAGGAGAAAGACGTTACTGTTTGATGCACTCATACCTACACAAAATTTGGCCAGGGACCACACACTTAGCAACCGCATTATTAACCTTAGGAGCTGGTACTTTGCGGATGCCCGGACTTCCAAGAAAGGTTGCACCCAGTACGGGGCAGTCTTTTAGGAATTTGTCAGGAGACTGACTCGCTTCGTGTCTGGAAATCGCGTCTTATTTGAATACATCGTAATTTCAGGATTGCAAAAGGAAGGACTCTAAATATGGTACTCGAAGTATGTCTTTTTTTCTTCATTGCCGCATATGGCGCGTAGACCTATGTGTAAGAAGGAAGTTTCCTATGTTCATTGTCACATGTTAACAGTTACACAAACGCACAATTATCCTTCCCATTCTTACACATAGGAAACTTCCTAATTTAATGTACTAGCCATCTATGTGTAATGTTATTTTGAGGAAAAGATTGATGAGGTGGACAATTACCTTGCAAAGCAAGATGGAATGATTATACGAGAGATGGATCCACGCATGTGTCATCATGGCACACGTCAAAAATGCACCCATTGTTTGCCGTTAGATGTAAGCTTTTCATCTAATTATTGGAAGTGTGCTTGAAAGTATGATTATGTCTAGGCTGCTTTTCCTTTGCAACTCAATTTCTCAAATATCAGACCTCTATTTACTCGTTATCATATTCTTTTACTTTCAATGACAAATCGAAAATTGCGGTAATTCATATAAGTTGTAGCTTAATTCTTGTTGTTTTTGGCAATTGCTAAAAAGTTTGGAAGAGTTTTTTATTTGCTTTCTTTCAGCCGTACGATGAGGAATACCTAAAAAAAAAGGATATTAAACATATGTCTTTTCATGCATATGTACGTAAAATGACAGCTGGTCACGGCAAAGGAACACAGCTGAAAAAACCACTGGAAAATATTTTTTGTTCACTGAAACCCAACTGTCCAGGTCATAAACCTTACCCACAAGGTATATGTAGCAAATGTCGACCTCCGATGGTTACACTCAATAGACAGGTTTCTTAAATTTTTGTTCAAGAGAAGTTTTTTTCATGTCACACAATATTAAAGATTATGAAGAATGGTATATATTAAGTCACTTTTCAAATGAAGTAAAACAGTGTTTAACATATTCTCTAATTTCCAGCGTTTTCGACATGTGGATAATATATCAATTGAAAATGAGGAAGTTGTAAATCGTTTTCTTGCATTTTGGCGTAAAACCGGTCATCAAAGAATCGGTTACATGATCGGGCGTTACGAATCTTTTCAAGAGATTCCGCTTGGAATTAAAGCAACAGTTGCTGCTATTTATGAGCCACCACAGGTTTAGCTTTCTATTTTGTCAAATTTATGTAATTCTTGTATTTCCTTTCCGAAATTTTACTCCTGTTTTTCAAATTCGTGATGTTTGTAGTCCTGTTCGGCCGATTCAGTAAGTCTAGAAGCCGATCCACAAGAAAAAGTGGTAGATGAACTTTGCTCTTACCTTAATTTGAAACGCGTTGGTTGGATTTTCACTGATTTATGGTCTGCAGATTCATCTAAAGGCACCGTTTGTTGTACGCGGCATAAGGTTTCAATATTCCATAATTTTTTTAGATTAAACTAAATGCTTTGCACTTCTAGAAAATTCATGGTCTAGAGATTTTTTTATTTCAGGATTCTTTCTTTCTTACTGCACAGGAATGCATCACAGCTGGTTGGTTACAAAATAAATATCCTAACATAACCACTTTTTGCACTGATGGGTATTTTGGCTCTAAATTTACCACAGTTGTTGCGTCAGGTCCGTTTTTCAAGATAATGGATTGGATTTCTACACTGACTTAAAAAGCACATAAATAATATCTAAATCAAGATTTAAGTTTACATGTGAAAGCTAAAACATAATTAGTGTAAGCAGTATGGAAAAGAGTTTAATATGAACGGGAAGTTTGTAATATATATTCACAGATTGGGATGAAGACTTATATTAATTGGAAATTACGTTTTATGGAATGCTTTATTTCAGAGTTGGGATTATGAAATAATTTTTGTTGCATTCAGTATACTTTCCTACCTTACAATGCTTGCAGGTAATGAATGGAATCAAATTGATTTTAGTGGTTATCAAGTTTCTAATCAGTGTGCTTCTCTTGTTGAGGCAAATTTGTTGTGTCCAACCTCTCATCCTGAGTTGGCTTACCTGCGTGAAGCGCCTTTAACTCCATCACAATACATCACTGATGTTTATTATATGGTATGTTAGATTGAATTCTGCTGCTTTATCAATTCTGTCTTTTCTCTGCATATTTATAAAAATCTATTTACAGGAAAGGAATGAATACGGCGTTGAAACAAGAAAAAATGGCCGTCCGATGCCTGTTGAGTATTTGCTTGTTGATGTTCCAGCAGGAATGCCAAAAGAGCCACGTGCCACATTTAATATTTCAAAAAAATGTTATTTTCCAACTGAGAATCGTATATTAATTGGTGAATTGCAGGTACATATTCATTTTTTTCTGTTTTGTTTTTCATTAAGCAAAAAATTTTTAGGAATGTTCATATGTCTATTTTTTGTAGCAGTTAAAGTGATTTTTTCTAATTTGTACTTGTGACAGTGCCACATTTGCTAAGTTTTGCAATTTCCGCTTCGACAAGATACAAAAGGCTACGTCTCGTGTGCCTCAAATTATATTCATGAGATTGCAGTTGGATTTTTTGATTTATATTATCACAGGGTATGGTTTTTCTTATTATTCATTATGATAATTTTCAAAACTTCCGTTCTAGGATTCAAAAGCAGTTGGTCGATACATATCTGAATTTTCACAAAATCAATTCATTGAGTTGGCAACGAATTTCCATTTTCTTCTTTTCCTTCTTAATAATGATATAGTTAAATTCCCCAAGGTTGGCAATTGTCTCTTTATTGTTTTTTTTTTTTTTTTTTTGAAATAGATTCAGCATAATTTTAATGGTATGGACCAAAAAATTTCGCTTGCAATAATGAAAATATTCAAATCTAAACGTAAAACATAATTAGTTTTATTAAATAAGGAAGTCATATTATGGTAATATAAATTATGAGGTAAATTTCAGGAAGAAGTTAAGTCTCTTTGTGACATAGTTCAACAGCAAGATCGAGGTAAAGCGATGAATTGGGCATCTGGCAACACCAACTGGGCAACGCTGTCAACATTATGTCTTCATTCAATGCAAGGTGAAAGTGCTGGTTCTTAGCAAATTTTCAAAGGCATTTTAAAAGGATATCTAATAAACATAACTGAGAAAATTTTCATTTTGTTCAGATAAGCGATGATTTTTCACATTAAAATTATAGCTTATCATGTTGTTTACATTAGTGCAACATTAACTCCTTTTAGAGTCGTCAACAATTGAATCAGACAATAAATGGCCTTGCAAACATTGTACATTTGAAAATTCGGTGGGACGGACAGACTGTTCCATGTGTGGTCTTCCTCGATCAGAAACCTGAAGTTTAATTTGTTATTCATTATATTTTTATTGCAATAAATTTTGTGAATATAGACTCATTATATCATGAGCTAATCTAGCGAGCGTGATTGTTATCTTTTGGGTTCGTTTGCGCGGAATTCGATTCTCCGCCAAATTTCTTATTCATTTATTTGAAGACGAAGTAGGTTTTTGGCTGGCATTTATTTCTTTTTGAATTTCAGTTCATCTTTTATTACTGTGATATGTTTGAATAGTGAAATAGTTCAAAAGATTAGGTTTTTTCTTTTAAGAAGTTTGGTGCTGCAATGCGCCATGTTTTTAATGTATTAAATAATGCTCTTCAATAGGCAGTTATTTTCGCAAAATGTAAAATGGTGAAGAAATTTTTCATCTCTTCTTATTCATATTTATAAATTGTTTTATAAATTGTTATCACAATTTATAAATATTGGTTTGCATCTATTATCTTAACATTCTTTCGCAGTATAAGTGAACTTGGGAAGATAAATGTCTATTTTACACGATGAATCAATAATTTGTGAGGTCTTGGTTTAATACAAACGGGAATAAGAGTTTCAGAAAACTGGCAATAAATATTCATACTCGTTTTTGCAATAAGCAAGATTGAAGTTGACACGCAAGTAAAATAAATTACTGACTGAGAAGGAAATTCGTCATGGTGTCATTGAGCATTGGGGCTGATCTCTGAGCTCTCAGCCTTCATTATAGTTTATCACAAGTGATAGATTCCAAAAATCTTAAATATTATTGCTGCAAATATCAGGAAATTAAAATTTCTTTAGATACCAATTCAGTAATTATGATTCATCTACTCGCTGCATTTTTCTTTCGTTTCATGCATTTCAGCAATTGACATAAAAAAGAGTTGGATTGACCAGGTCGCTAATTAAATTGATATCTGAAGAAAATTTTGCAACAAGTACATCAATGATTAACTAACATATTAGGGTGCGGTGTACTAAAAAAAGTGGATAAAAAAGACGGGTTGTAGAGAAAGAAGTATGACTGACATGTAGAGGCCATCTGATTGGATTATTAGATCTTCTCTATCACATTTCTGTCTTCATCTCTCTTAACAAATATATGGGGAAAGGAAAAGATGGAAGTGAACAATGATCGTCTGTATGATCGTTCAAATCATGTTTCACATAAAGATGTATATCGACCATCCATGGTTCTTCTTATTCTGGTATATTTTTGGTGATACAATCAATATCTTTACATCTGCTGCAATTGACTACTCATTGATATGTAAACCAGGCTATCGAATATCGAAAATACAACGATCACCCAAATATAATGGGAAATTAGGCTCCTTGTTAGTACAATGTGAACTTATTGAACGAAATACGGAATTGGTAGATACTTTAGAATTTTTTTCATTTCATTTTCATTGATCTTCGTTTCAGAATGCTACTGGAAGATATTGTTAACATAATGATATATCAAAAAGTAAAAAGTAGTGGGGATCTGAAAGACACCTACTTCTAAACATGTTTTTATGCTGAAAATCGTTTATTTTGAAAGATTTTTTAAAGCGAATGATCGTGTAATCTTTGCAATGCACACATATCTAAATATCTCACCTATATCATTATATCTGTAGCCATGCTGAATTGAATTTTCAATTGTTACCTGTTCATGATTCCATCGATAAACAATTTGTGATAGTCTTAGACACTGTAATATAATAATCGAAAAGAACAAAAAATACTATCACCCGCGCACTATAATTTCGCGGTAAGTTCTGAGAGAATTTTAAATCCTCTGAATTAATTTTGTTATCTCCATCACGTTTTTCTATTTGATTTTACTTTTTTTAAGAAGTACATTTAAGATAGAATGCATTCGATTACAAAGTATACCTCAATGTTCCGGTATAGCGGAAGGTTGTTCTGGGCAGACATGGCTTGCAGGCTTCAATCTATATGTTATTGAAAATTCAACAAAAGTTACACTGTATGTTATTCGTTATTTCATGAAATGAATGAATGAAATATGTGAAAACTGAAGATTTAATTCGTAGATATAGAATAATATTTAAAAATGACCCCTATTATATCATTAAAATCCATTTATCTATCCTTTTTAATTTAGTCCAAGTTGGTTTAACTTTTAAGACATTTCACTAAATGTTATAAAAAGGAAATACAAGAATAATAAATCTTTCAAAAATCTATAGAAAACTTTCAACGTTCCTTCTATCTTCATTTATAGCTTCTGAAGAAATTCATTGAAAGCCATTTTATCACTAAAATAAATTCATCCTTCTTTACTGTTTTGGAATAATAAAATTATCAAGTTTCAATTAATTTTTATAAATATGGAATTTGGAGAATCACTTCAATTTTATAATACTTCAGGGAATAACTTTTCTCTCCTTTATTTGTCTCATGACTAAGCAGTAATTCAGAGTAGCAAGAACAGTTCGTTTAGGTGTGAAATTCATTTCATTATTGATCTTCCTTTTTCAGATGGGATCCAATATGCTGTACATCAAAGAATATAATCATAGATGAAAATGCCTGTATAAATGATCGTCTTAATCAACCAAATGAAAATTTTGAACATGAAATAGCCAACGATTTAATCTATAGAGGATTGCAATGTTGGCATCAGTACAATGTTTACAACACATTGTTCGACTTGATCTGGAAAATGGAAATCTGCCCGTTCAGCTCACCTGAAGAAAAGATATACAGATCGCAAGGTTTATGTTTTACTAATTTTATGGTTGGTAAAAAAGCCTATTTTGATACCACTTCCCCTCACAAATCGAACATCAACATCTCGTATCAATGCAACACGACCATAATCGAAATTAACGGAATTATCCATGCCATCCATTGCGCATGGATATAACGGCATGAATGCTATAACAAATCAGCTTTCTGCAAAGCGGTACTTTTTAGATTGTCCGGAGTGCGAATGTGATTGTGGCAAATCACAGTGTTCTGATAACAGTTATCCATCCAAGCTGATTCATAAACACACTAAAAATCACTCATGTCAGTGTCAATGTGACTGCATCATTATCTGCTAAAATGTGTTTCAGAGCAACAAACTAGTATGTGTACCGCATAACCTGAAATCTAAAGACAAAATTTTCTATTTTACCGTAAAGATGTTCAATTTCTACCGCCAATTCCCTACTTTCAAGAGTTTTAAAGAACTTCAGTTGTTTCGGCTGTCTACGTTGCACTTTTCGTTCCTTACAGATTTTGTATATTTTCTGTCTTATCGTAATACGTTCTGTGTCTTTCTTATCGTAATACGTTTTGTGTTTTTTCTTTCCAGATTTTAGTAAAATATATATATATATATTCATGCCGTAAAACGCTCCAAAAAAAAAGTTAAAACATGAAATAACAAGCAAATTACCGCTGAACTATCTAAAGTGAAAAAAACTACCCCAGAACAGCCTGTCTGAAATAAAAAGTTCCCCAGAACAGAATGCGGAATCGGAATTCTTGCCGAGAAAAGGAAGGAAATTTCTTTCCTTATCCCTCTTCATAACAGAGCTTCTATAGAAAACGTTACCAAAAATATCCAAAAAATTTGAGACATTTCTTCTCAAAAAGCGGTTACAGAAGAGTTAAAATAAACGAAATGACACAAAATGTCTATGTGACTAACTAATTAAGGAATAAACAGTAAGCCCGGAACTTGGTAAAAGAGGAATGCCGCTAATTTGAATAGAGATTTTAGGATCACGAACTAAAACAACAATCCAAATTTCAAGAAGTATTCTAACGATTTATTCAAGGTTGTTGGGATTACATTTTTTACGGCTTTACTCATCTTTCTAAAATGGGAAGAATATATTTCGAAGCTGATAAGCGACATTTCTCCCTTTTAACAAACATTGCTTTAAAATTCACGTTAAATACTGAAGAAGTAATAGGTTGAACGCCTTGTTTGAATAAATAGTTCAATTAACACAAAGCAAATTGGATGAAATCTGTCAGTGATTTTCTACCATTTCCCATTGGAATTGGTAGCAGAAGGTGTACCACTGCCAGCACTGCTGCTATTATTGCTCAAAGTACTCCAAAAAGCTTGCCACGCGGCATCCATCATATCCGGATTTACATTCATTTTGTTCAAATTCAGCGCATCCAATCCAGATGCCAATGCCTGGCTTGTACCTGAACGTGCCGGTGTCGAATAGCGAGGAGAATTGGAATAACCAGGTGAAAAACGATTCGACGCTCGCGTATCCGATGAACGATAGGTGCTAGCACGCCAATTATCCACTGAACGAGATACCATAGGGTCGTATGGATAAGACGTCTAGAATAATTCATCTTCAAGTAGAATTATGTAAAACGAAAGACAATAAAATCACTTCGCAGCTCCATTTCCGACAACAAAGCATTCACTAACGTAATCGGGACTTTTGAAGCTAACAGTTTCCGGGGAATAGCCATATTTGTCAGAAAATCTGCGCGAATGGCGCCCTTGACTTGGTAATCCATACGAAGCACTTTGACCGTATCGTGGAGAAAAATCTGATTCACGCGGCGCTGCTGCACTTACTGCTACCGATGAACCATCAATGATGAAATCTCCCTGTCTTAAAATCAAAAAAACCAAAACACATATAAAAATGCTGAAAATAATCAAATGCGAATGATTGGAATGGAAGTGAAATAAAATCCAAATTCTTCAGTATTTAAGTAAAGAGCTGCCTAACTAAATATTGGAGTATCTGGAAAAACTTTGCTTAGTAAGTACGCTTTGTGTACTATCCTTCAAATTGCAGTTGCCATTATTATGGTTTTAAAGTGTGCAAATTAAGATAATTTTCTAGATTCAACAGATGTTCAATACAATGAACATAATATCATTACTACTACTTGTGTACTTACCTCATCAGTTCCTTGGCGACCGCAGGACTTGAAAAATTAACAAATGCGAATGATCGGAATGGACGTGGAATAAAAACATCTGTTACCTTAAAAAATCAAATATAAAGCAAAAATTTCCTTAATTTTCAGGCGTACATAAGAAACAAGACAAGAGAACTTCCCACATTTCTGTCCTTAAAGTAAGTCTTCTATACGGGAACTTACAAAAGCGTTTGAATCAATTTTAGCAGCTTCTCCGTTGAAGAATTTTCGGAGCGTATCGACAGTAGTCTTCTCTTGTACGCGACCAACAAATATGCGAGTTACTACTGGCGATCCTGTATCTCCCTGCAAATTCATTGTAAATTCGTCACAGAATCAATTCGTGCAGTAGTGATGTCGAAATATGAACAGAGTAATGGTCTAAGGACAAGCATTTTAAAGATTTACTACTACCTATCCAACATTTCAGTTACAAAGCTAGTATGGACCACATGCAAAAGTATTGACCTTGAAATGGCTACGTGGGTAGAGTAAATTTCAGCACATAGATTGCAACACACACGTTCCAGTGACATGAGACTCAGAAAACTTTAGAAGTATTTACTAAAATGAATCACCTTCGAGAGTGGAATTCTCACTTGACAACGACGTCCATCAATCTCATGAGTCTGTTGCGTAAGGATACGCTGCTGAGCATCAAAATCAGCCATTCGCACAAACCCGAAACCTTTCGATGCACCATTGGGGTCAGTTTTTAACTACAAAATTTTAGTGATAAATCTAACACTTCCTAAAATTTATGAGATTCTATGGAAAACAAAAAAGAAAAAGGCATACTTCGTAAAATCCGAAAAGCAAACTCAACCAACTCGCAAATATCAAGAGACTAGAAAATGTTCACATCAACTTTTTTTTACACAAATTCAAGACAATTAACATCATTTCACAACTCAAAAATTCCTATCAAACTCATCATTTCAAACATATATGGAAAAACAGAGAAAAAAAAGTCCCGAGGCAAGGATGCATTTTTTGTTAAAAGTAGCATTAGCTTACATCAAAAAGGATGACTTCGCCGAAATTTTCGAAATATGCCTTGCATGTTTCAGCAGATGTTTTGAATGGCAATCCGAGGACAATCAAATCAATACACGCTTTCTCGCCACTCGGATCCTCGATACGCTTTTGCTTAGCGGTAAACTGTCCCCCGCGTCCCCCTTGCGAATCTTCGGAATCGCCCTCTTGCTCACACTCATCCATCATCTTCTTGCGCTTCGTGTTCTGATCACCTGCACACCACACACTGATTGTTTAGACGATGAACAGTAACACACTCACCCCTCTTTCCTTCCCACATAAATCATCAATTTATCAATTTAATTTAAATCTATCAAGAATCTATCAATTTAATTTAAAGATTTCATTCTTGATGTTTTCTAGGCGGAAACTTACTATACATTGAAAACTGAAACCGTACAATCTGTACTTACACAATACATTCAAAACTGCAGATTTACTGTCCTATAACTGATTTCCTTTCACAGCACTCAAAGTTTTCAGTAAAGGCTCTTATAACATACTTCCTACAAAAACCAAACTAAAGATTGAACTTTATATGTCTTCGATCAAATTTAAAATAATCTCGGCATTATTTGTAAACGCAATGCCTGCAAGTAATAAAGACCACTTGTTACACTATGCATATCACACTCTGCAATTAAAGTCATCACTCATAGCGCTTGAATTTAACTTCACTTCCAACGTCACCGCTTCCAAAATCACGAGGTGATATCAAACCACAGAATTTCAGTCTAGCAATACATATCACTTTTATCATTTCACATATATCATTTGACAAACAAATAGCAATAATCTCTTCATTAGCGTCCACTAATAACCATCTCATTTTCTTCTCTCTTAATAAAACTATCGAAATCGATAGTTTTAATAAGTGAAAAGGAAATGAGATGGTTGTTAGTGGACGCTAATGAAGAGATTACTGCTACCTCACTGTCATAAAAAATTCTTGAAAAATGATGTTACAAATACATTGCAATACTAAACGCATACCTGATCCACGATGAGGATAAATGACAATAAATGTTTTATTCTTCCAACCATCAGGAGGTGCAAGAAAACGCGTTCCTTGCGGATCCATCCTATAAAAGAACCTCATAAGAAGTCGTTAAAGAGCTAGGAAATCCATGTCATGAGCCAAAATGAATAATCCCAGCTTATTTTTACTCCAACACTATAGTGCTTCAGCCTTTTAAAGAATAACGGAATTCTTAACATTCAGGTAAATTTCATACTTTTCATACTTGAAGAACAAAATAATTTCATTTCAAGGATCTAACAAGGTGCCAGTTATAAACCATCCGGTTAGCGATAATTAAGACTTTGAGGCGCTAGGCCCTAGTATACAAATATATAAAGTTTATACAAAACATGTTTCAGAATAGAGTACCATTTTTTTCAATCTAAAATCGTACAGTGATTAGAACAGCGCTAAACGAAATATGCTAAAGAAATCTTTTAAAATACAAACTTACAGCAAAGCTCGGCTTGCTCCTGTGACCGAATTTTTATATTTTAATCCATGGGCGCCAGGAAATGCATGAACCAAAGTGTTTAAGCTCAGCGAATAATCTTCCGGAAGTAAAGGAAGCTCTAGGCGTTCGCTATCCTCTGTTTCTGATACAACCACATATTCCACAGGTTCACTGTTTTCTTCCTTTAATTAAATTAATTTAAAAAATACCCTACTAAAAAATTTCCTTCACAGATCTGCGCAGGGACTTAACTTAATTGTTTCGTTAGATACAGTAAAACAGTAAGTATATACATCGAGTAAAACATCCGAGAGAGTGCAATTAATGCTGAATGACGCTTGCTTACAAAGTATCACTTAAATGTTCCCAATTAAGATATGGAAATGTTTTATATACGACGAATTCAGTGCACATGCATTCGTCTTGCACAAAGTGGTGGAATAACAGTCAAAAATGAGCGTATGTGCAACTATATTCAAAATCAAATAGAAATTACTAGCTAAATTCCCAATCTACAAAAACTAAAAAAGTCAATGCATTCTTATCTACCCATCAAGAAATAAGAAGAAAGCATTTCATCCTGCCACAGTATAGTCAAGAAAAATATGCTTACCACGGTTACATTGGTGTTTTTTGATTCGTTCATTATCTCTTCACTTTTACAATTGATAGATACCATTTCCGAGGTCATTAAGCTAGTTTTCAGGAAAGGTCCTGAAAAAAATAAAATGTATGCCACCAAATCACTGTTAATAGGAAATAAACACAAGAATCGCAAGATATTGCTTAGATATCAGTTTGCAAAATAATGAACATATGAGCTCTGGGATTAAAATGATCGGTATGCCTGGTTCAAGCTTGTCAACATCAGACTGTCAACCCACTCCCACATTGAATTTGTCTTCACATTGCTTCCTCGAAATCACTCACCTCGCCTCCTTCAATTATAAAACCATAGGTTCAATGGATGTTTCGCTGCGTAACGATGATCAATACCGCACCACAATATTCGGCCACTCTGAAAAAAATGAGTAAGTCTGAAACTTCCACTTAACACTGAAAGTTAAATGGCAATGTTATTGGTCTTGTTCCTATTTCAGAAGACTAAAAGTACTTTCCTTCTCTCAAGACAGAAAGCTTCTCTCCTAATAATAATTTTATTACAATCTTACAGGAACAGAAAGTGTTATATGTCAATAAAGTCTACACACCAAGTAAAGACTATTAGTGGATAAAACAAGTGATGGATTAAATCAAAGTTGTGCTTCTACACTATATGAAATTCCTTCTTGCATTCTTGTTTTTCATGAAATGAATTTCTTCTTACGTTCTTGTTTTTCATCAAATGTATCAAGCAATCTAAATCATTTGTCTACAACATGTCGGACGTAACATCTACTGAAATGGAACAAAATAAACTTGCGATGATGTCATGAGGAACACACTAATTAAAATTTACCATCGGAGCAAAAAAAATCCTAAATGTAAAGAAATGTAATGAGGCAACCAAAATATTTTCATCGTGGTATAATCAAAGTTATGCATGCTGGTTTCATCATTTCATGTTCTGGGAGAAGGAGGAGGAAAAGGCCGTTTTCGTTAAAGGTTCGCGGAGTCGGTCCTCAGGGCGTGGGAGATTATTTCGAAACGCAGTTCTAGGGGAGTGTTATTGTTGCATATCATGCATTAAATACACAAATATGGATTTTAAGTTAGCGTTTGTTGGTTAGCGCTGGAAGAATTTCATTTCATTCCAAATTCGCGCATTTGAAGCAATGAAATGTTTCAAAATTTCAGCATGCTTAAATGAATATGAAATAAATTTTAGAGAAAACCTGTTGGACATTGTGTAGATGCTCGAGAGCATTCTGCCAGATTGACGCTAGTGAGTCAATAAAGTTGTGCATGTAGCTCTTCATTTAAATTAAATAAGTAGGTTCTGAGTGGAACATATATTAAATACACGAACGTGGACTTTAAGTCGGTGTTTAGTGGTTAGCAGTGGAAGAATATCCGCACTGATCATGAGTTATTAACGTGTAACGAAAAAGCCTGCATAATTTCAGGCAGAAATGAATACGCCTTCAGACGATGGACAGTATACAGACACCGATAGAGAAGAAGGTGCTATCGATGATGATAAGAAAAGCTCAGGTTAGTCACTTTATATGTACATCAAGATGAAGTTTAGATCCTTAATATTTTACTATCGATTTTGCTGACTGCATTATTTTCTGTCTTTCTGCAAAATTTTTTTCATATTCATTTCGAAGTGAACGATTTTTTTTTTGAATGAGAAAAGAGAATGAATGTATCATTAAGAGAAATATTATAAACAGTGGACAAAATATTGTTCATTTATACGTGAATTTTCAGAAGACAGCAATTCTGTTGAGCGACTATCTGCTTGCAATATTTCGGATCTGAATGACCGTAATACAGAATTGGAAAAAAGAGGTCAGGAACAGTCATCATCATCAAGTGATGTTGGTTAGTTTTTCATCATCTGTTTATCAAATGCTATTCAATTCCATTCATTAAGGTCATGCCTACGAAACTAGCATGTATCGTTTATTGATATGTGTAATATAGATGCAGTGCTGTGGAAGAGTATAATGTGAAAGTTGCCTAAAGACTTATCGATAAAAACTATCTTCGCTAAATTCTCTTCTCTTTTCCAGAGGGTGAAGAAGCTCGATTACGCCAAAAGTTGCTAGAAAGGCGTAGTGTGTTAAGCAATTCGTCAATGCTAAAGCGTGAAGTCATCGAGGTGGAGCGTGGTAGTACATCCTCGGTTTCGGTTACAATCACCAATATTGATAAAAAATCGAAATCAAAAGTACAATCGATATCTCCCAAAACGAAAAAGTCATTGAAACTGACTTCTAATGTAAATGGTTCAAGTGATGATGAAGAGATGTTTTCCATCCAGCCTAAGGAATCGGTAAGTAATCGCATTTATATGGTAGTTAATTACATAGATACAATAGTGGTAGACAAAAATCTTCCATTTTTGCTTAGATTTTCATATCTTGGTTTTGAAATTAATATCTTCTGCTTTTTATACTATTCATCACTTTATGTTCCTTAAATAATTTCTGTGCTCCCTTTATTTTAGATTTTTTAATTGGAGGGGATATAGACGACTTGTCTTGTTTAACAGTTAACAAATGCTCCTAGTATTGAATTTGAATTCATTTTCTCGGAAATCATCTATCCTAGCTATTGCTTATTGTCTTCGTTACATTTCATTCCCGTGATCATATTGTGGATAATCCAAAATAACTTTATAATCTAAAATATTTACATTTATATGAATTTATAATGGATTTCTCTCCGATGGAAAGACATAACATTTTACATAACCATTTAAGCTCCCGGTCGTGCTAATCTTCCAGAAACTCGGGTCATACGCTCTGGAACATTCGCACATATTGATTGGATTGTACGGTCTTCTTTCTATCAAAACTGATATTGGCATAACTAAAAAGTAGGTAGCTCTCTTCACGTATTTCACAATTAGAGCAGTTCATCTAGAACTAACTGGTAAAAAAATTTATCTGCCGAAAGTTTTTTGCACCAAGAAGATTCATTCCCTGACGAGGTTGTTCTGAATTAGTTTTGAGTGACAATGCTAGTGAGTCAGTTTTCCTGACCATTATGGAATTAAATACGTACGCATATTGCTTCGTTTTAGATTGATGAAAAATGTGATAATAATCGATATTGAAAAGGCATTTTTCCATTTGGAATTATTCTCATCATTCTGAAACGAAGCAATCCATTATAGATTCATATAAATGTAAATGTTTTGATATTATGATGTTGTTTCGGGTTACTGATGCATATCTCCTTCGCAGATTGTGAAACAGCGCAGTCATTCCGCTCGCCCTCATGAGTACAAGGAACGTGAACGTGGAGGACCCGGTGATAAGGCTAGAAAATCGGAAAAAATGCGAGATGAAAAACATTGGCATAAGGAACGAAAACATGATAAACACATACATGGTGATTATCTCAACAGAGATTATGATTCCCGTGAGGTGATTTTTCCTTTTTTTTGAGATTCATTGCTTATTGTTCAAAAGAAAAAAAATGTGTTACTCAAAACTTTTTATTTCTAAAGTATACATTCTTCTTCAAACTTAATGTTTTAGACCCATAAGCGTCACATCTCTGGCAAATATCAACAGCCGCGGGAACATGAATCACGGCTTGCTGGACGTGTAGTTTTACCTGATTCAAAATCACAGAAACTTTTATCCATGAAAATATCTTACAAAGAACGTGAAAACCATGGTGAATCCAAAATAGAACGATTGTATCATGCAAAAGATGCAAGCAAAAGGTTAAATTATCTTTATTCTTCACTGCATTTTCTTTTTGATAATTATAATTAAAGTTTTCACAATACACCCAAGAAATGTCGGATTTGAGTCTTGGAAATTTTTTATATAAAGAAGGGCGGAATGGAAGGAAAAAATAAGAAAAATAACAAAAAACAGCGCGTTGATTGTTTAGTGAATGACAAATGGTTACGACGAACGTTCAAAAGTTGATTTACATATTGACTATAGTATTAAGTGATAGAAGTTGAAAGACGCATTTTTCACACTGCTATGTATTTTCAGCAGATCTCCACGTAAACGTGAAATTAATATAAGTCCCAAGCGAGGTGGTGTCATTTTAGAAGCAGAATTGCCATCAAAAAAAATGCATATGGAAAAAGGTGATGGGGCCGCAATTGGTTCGTTTTTTCTAGAATCGTTCAAATTTTTAAAATTTCGGACTAACTATGAGGATTTTTATAATTTGAAAGTTTCGCTCGTAATATCAGGTGATTATTTAGAGGTGCAAATAACAAGCACCAGTGATAATGGAGGAAAAACAGCAGAAAAGAAAATACCAGAAGAACATGCTGAAACATGCAGTAATAAATTTAATCAAACGATTGGTGCAGATGAAATGCAGGAAGAGCAACCATCGGCTTTGCAAAAAGGTTTTTTTCTGTTTGAAAATTCAAATTTTTCTTTTAACTGAATCAATTTTTTTTGAAACATGGAATATTACTTGAATATCATTTGTTTCCTCTAGCTACGGCAGTGGGCCCAGCAAAGTATTCGAAGTTCGATAGTGATCCGGAAGATGAACAAGAAGAAAAAAACGAAATCAAACCTTCTGGTGCGAAAGACAATACAGAAATGGTTGTGGATAGTGCTTCGGGTATTTCATTTTATATGATTACATAAAAATATTATCAATTACGAAAGCTGTTAAGAAACATAGCATTTACAAATGATATAATGTCAGCAAACTAATAAACATGACCTAAGTGTGATTTTGACAAATAACTGATTTAGATGCAGAAAGTGATGTGATTTTGCGTAATTTGGATGAGGATAGCGTGGATTTGATGGATTTTGATGAGGAACAGATGGCTAGTTTGTCGCCGGAAACACGAACAAGGTTGACGTGTTTCTCTGCATTTAGAAAATTTATGCAATTCAATGTTTCATATTTTTTCATTCTTAAAAAACTGATAGTCCAATGATAGTCTAGATCATATTTTAGACTCGAAGAAGAGCAGCAGAAGAGGCTAATAGCCAAACTACCCATTTATTATCCTGGTATTAGTGGATGCCGAAACGTTGCTGAATTTGAATGCTTGAATCGCATCGAGGAGGGCACTTT